TGAGACTGCGCGATGACGTAAGGTATATCATCTTTTATGGCAAACATAACTAAGCCATTTGATGGAGAGAACGCGATGTATCGCTCGGGAAGTGCACGGTTACATGCAGCGGATAGTGGTAAATACTTCGATTTTAAGTCAAACAGCTCTCTTTTCAATTTTATTGTTCCTGATTTTGTAAAAATGTAGTCTTCGTTACAGATATAGATACTGAGTGACGAGTCTTGACCATAAACTGTAATTTCGTTGTCATTTGTTAAAGAAGGAAGCAGTTTATGGAAAGATGATTGGGATGATTCATCGATTACAAGATTTCGGCCAGATTTGGTCGCTATGTTAAACGTAAGTATTTTTCCTTCAAGCATAATTAATAAAATATTACTAATATGGGGATGATGTTGAATTTCTACGATTTTTTCTGATTTATCTAAAGTATGGGATTGAGATTGAGATGTTGGAGCCTGCTTGGCATTCTTTGACGTGATAATTGTAAAGGATGGACCATTAGAATATAGAATTGCAGTGAATATATCTGAACTATTAACAGCCATCCTTGTATATGTACCAGGAACATCTATCTTCCAAAGTATTCGTGAGTTTTTCGCTTGATCTTCAGCTTCATACGGCCAAAAATCGATACTATAAATTGTATTTGGTTCTGCAAAGCCTAAAACGATTTTACGGGACCATTGAAGCTCCGATACATACTGAGCTTCAGATACTTGACGAGTGATTCCGAGTGTAAGACCTGATTCACAATCCCATAACAAAACTCTTCCGCAATCGTCTGAAATTGCAAGATAAGGTAGCTCATAGTGGAATTTAAGGCAAGTTATGTTAGAATTTAGAATTTCAATGGATCATAAGAAAGAAATATCATTTTTAGTAGTTTTATAGAGATAAATTGTGCCTTTACCGGCTAATGCAAGTAGCCCACATGCTTCCCAGTCCATGCTCCCTGTGTTGAACACTTTACTAGGTGGACAAAGTGAAGCAAATCGTATCTTAGCTTTATTAAAAGGATTCGCTTGCATTTTTTTTATAAATTGATATCGTCAAAAATTTTAATTCTACAATGTTTTAAATATATTAATATTTAGTTGTACAGAATCAAATCACATCTACTTGAAAAAAAAAGGTAGTGGGGCTTCCAGGCGCGTTGCGCCCTCTAGCCCCGAAGATGTTTAGTATAAAACCGCTTTTTAACTTCACTTAAAATGCCACGTAAGCTACGTAAGAATATACGTAAGAGGAAGGGAGCATTGAAACATCCAATAGTAAAACTGACACCACAACAACAGTTGCAACAACAAATGCTGAATGACCCCACTATGTTGCAACAAATGTCAAGCAACCCTATGCTTTTAAACCGAGTTATTGGTGCACAGAGTGGAGGTTTAAGAGCGGCACTTTTAGCGAAAATGGCAGGCTATGGTGGAGCTGCAGACGGAACAGCTTATAACCCTCAAAGTCAAATGAATTTGAGTTCACTCAAAAATCAAATAACAGATGTCAAAAAGTCAAACATAGACATACAGAAACAAATAAGTGAAAACGAAAAGAAACTAGAATATGACAGACACACAAAGAAACTCAATGAGTTAAACGTAGAGAAAAAGAAGAAAGAAGAACAACTGAAAGAACTAAGTACAGAGGAATATGCGAAAAAAGTGTCAGAAAAAGCAGCAGAAGTAGCAAAAATGGAACAAGATGTTATAAATTTGAAAAACCATACTACTCAATATAAAGTACTGAAAGATGAAGAAATAAAACAAAAAGCCCTGAAGACATATATGGATAGCGATGAGTATAAAAAAGAAGTTGAAGCAAATGTAAAGGCAGAAAAACTTTTACAGTTGCAAAACCAAACCGTACAGTATGAAAACTTAGCAAGAAAGTAAAAATAACGACGCAGCCATGCAAAAGGCAATGAAAAGCGCAGAATATATAAAAGCTAATAATGACTGGTTAGACGCCCAAGCCAACGCTAAAGCAGCCCAACTTATAGGGTCAATAAGGACAAAAATACAAGCGGATGAAGACAGTTCAAATGAAGCTTTAACGAATGCTGACTTTAAGAACGCCTTCGAAGCTCTTCATAGTAAGGTGAAACTAGTGAACGACTTCTCATCTGGAAAGAAACTGAAGTCTGAAGGTTTCGACAAAGAGTTAAAAGAAGTAGCACAAAATATGACGAAAATAACAGATGCAGCAACGAGACAGGCAGTTCAAAGTGCCCATGACGCCGTTAGAACAGCTGTTGTGGAAAGTCAAGAAAAAGAGTTACAACAGACCAAAAGAGACCTAGTAAATGCTTTCTTAAGAACGAAAAGTCAGGTAGGACATTATGCTGCAGATGGAACATATGTGCCAGCTGGTGGAACTTATATACTAGCTAGTGGAACTTATATACCACCAAACCCTCCAAGAGAAGCACCTGCACCAGGACTACCTAAAACATTTACATCGTCACATGGACACAGACACAGGCATGCACCAAAACCAACACAACAACCAACAGTTCAAAATCCAGCACCACAACAACAACAACAACCAGCACAACAACCACCTCCACAACCAGCACAGCAACCAACAGTTCAAAACCCTGCACAACAACCACCTCCACAACCAGCACAGCAACCAACAGTTCAAAACCCTGCACAACAACCACCTCCACAACCAGCACAACAACCACAAACAGAGCAAGGACATAAAAGAAGTAGAGAACAAGGAAACCAAGATTTCTTAAAAATGCTTAAGGAAGAATATGGTTACCCAGATACTCTTGACTTTAGTGACAGATATAAAGAAGCTATTAGAAAGTTCAAGGAAGGAAATACAGACCCGAACCTATTTAGCTTTATGGTTCAGCACCAAATGGGATATAATTTCAAACCTGGAAAATACAAGCTCGCTAAGGGATATGATTTAATAGCATATCATCCAAATGACATGAACGAATTTACTCCGAGATATTTGGTGTCAGAGCTAAATGACAATTCAACTCTCTTCATGAAACGCGTAAAAAATAGAGACGGAACGAAAGAAGAAAGGTTTATGAGTCCGGATGACTTAGATAGGGAACTTTTTAAAAACGGTCTCGGAATATATGAAATGCCAGCAGATGAGGTACAAGAAACTCAACAGGAAGAAGTTCAGATACAACCAGACATGGAAGAAATAGTTCAGCAACAACAGCTAGAAGAGCCTGAAGGAAACGAACAAGTCCCTCCTTTGGAAACTAACCTCACAGAACTAGATGAAGATTTGGAACAGCCGAAAAATCTTGACCCTCAACAAGAGTATGAGGTGAATATGGAATCTTTCCAAGAGTCTAAAAAAAATTCGGCTGACATAGTAGAAGAATATCGAAAAATGTTTGCCGACATACAAAAGACTCCAACATCAGATGAAAATATTCAGCATAGAATGGAAGTACTGAAAGATAATGTACGCAAATACAACAATCCTTTTTACTTACGACCATATAACGTTCAATCTTTGGCTGAACTCGGTGAAAATAAAAGGTTAAATTTCAACAAAACATATAGAAATGAAACATTGTTTAAAGTTCATTCAGAACCTAACCAATATGGAAACAAACCTACTTTTGTTTCTGCAGACTATGGAACTACAATGAGATGGGGTCATAAAGCTAATCCGGATAGGTGGTTCATAAACTTACAACCACAATTCCAAGAAGTTGTAGACGCAATGGAAGTGAATGGTGAACCAGATATAGCTGGTATTTTCAGCGCGGCTTTAATGCCATTGAAAGATATGAAAGATGCAGATATTTTGAACCAGTATGAAATGAACATGGCTGATGGAAATATAACACCTGACGTTCTAAAACATTTATCTCAAAGAACTACACAGAACCATAGAGATGGTATATTTGGTGAAGAGTTTAGAAAGACAGTTAGGGAGAGAGAAGGAAGAGAACCTATTGTACATGACCTTGCAAACGAAAGTTTACAAAATGTCATAAAAACTTACTTTGCAGACAATGAACCGAGAAGGGATGAATATTTAAGAAAACTCAAATGGACAGTACCAAATGAAATGTTAGTATTGAAAAACATGTTCCTTGACAAAATAAAACCAACTACAGAAATAAATGACGAAAGACTGAAACATTGGGTAAAAGCTTTCCCATTCACAAAAGATATTATTGGTAACATGGAAAGAAAACCAGAATGGCTACAAAAACATATATTTGGAAACGAGCTTATTCCATATGGACAAGCTCTGTTTGAAGAGCTTGAACCGGAAACTCAGGAAAGAGTCATGCAAACAATACGCGAAGACTCAAATACAAACTATGACAAAATCTTTCTAGGATATAGGTTACCTGAGATGGGCGACCAGAGCCCAAAGGCAAAAAGGACATGGGAAATTTACAACATACTAGGTGAACATGAGGCAAAGATGCAACAACTTGAAGCAGAGGGCAAGTTACCAAAAGCGACACCAAAGAAGAAGAGAAGAGTAGAACAAAGTGAAAGTAGTGAAGAAGTAACTTCATCTAGTGAAAGTAGTGGCAATGAAGGAAAAAGAAGAGTTAAAAACTCAGTCAGGAAGAAAGTAAAGCTTGGTCCGAGTGGGTTCTATTATGACATATAAATCCAACTATTCTATATTTTTACCCATATGAAATGTACGCCGCTCAGAATATAACGCCAACAGTTTTGGATGCCATGAATGGAAATGTTTCCGAATGGTATAACGAATGCGACAATGCCATTAGAAGGTCAGAAATAGTTCCTGGAACTTACGAATATACAACTGCTGTTTCTTATGGAAACGTAGGTGAGTTTGGAGAAGGTTCTTCAACAACAGTAGATATTGCTTGCGACAGGTTTCATATTATTTCTATTGACAACTCTTTCTTATACGTGGAACAAGACATTGAAATAAAACCTTCTGCCAAGTTGTCTGAAAAGAAAGGTTGCAATGGAATTTTCTATGTCGGATACCAATATGCTCCAGAAGTTTTCATGGGATATAAGATATATTCTAACTCTGACTTAGTTCAAACAGTAACATGGGCAAACTATGAATGGTTCGCTTTAAGAAACTCAGTACAACCACAAGCTAGAGAACAAACAGACCAGTATGCAACTATTGAGAAAATAAGAAGACTTGACCCTAACGTTCCAGGAGTTTATGTTAACCTTTCTGGTTCAGATGGAACTGCTGCCACTAAAGTAAAACTGAAACTTAGAGTTCCTTTGTCATCTTTCCTCATCTTCAGGTTTTTAAGATACTTGCCAAACTGGGCAGGAAAAATTTCTATCGAACTTACTCCAAGCAAAAATAACTTAGTCATTGCACCAACACAAGACCCATTCACTCTTACAGACGTAAAGGGAACAAATAAAACGTCATTCGCCGAATTTTGCAAAGACAAAGTTGACTTAGACTTTGGTTTCTCAAACCTCAACACTGAAGTAAACTATTATTTCAATGCTGCTGGAGATGCTTGGGACCCAGTTAAGTTCACATGCGAAAAATTTGAATGCAAGAGAATAGAAAGCAGACTTGCAGTCTATATGTTGGACCCAGATATTTCAAATGCTTTAGCTGCCAAATATATTGCAGTTCCACTTATGTTCCCTATACACCAAATATCTGTCAAAGACTTTGCAGGTGAAGTTGGAAACCAAAGTGCTGACCCAGGTGCAAGAACAGATATTGCCTTAACAACTGCAATGAAACATGCAGATACTATGTTTGTTCTTTTCAGACGAACTATAAATGACTATTCTTGTTTCTACAACCCTGGTATTAAATATCATATAAACATAGATGGCAAATATTATCCAAGAGAAGAATATTCTACAGTTGAGGATATGAGGTCATACAACTTGACATTAGATGCTATGAACTTTAACAACAACTTCACAACAACCATTAACCCTGAAATGCAAAGTTCTATTATGCCATATGTGAAAGTATGGACCCATACAGGAGGTCAAAAAACTCAATATACAAATGGAGACCGTTCAAACTTTTGGCTTGGCATTCCATTTGCTGACTCAGAAGACTTTATGGGTGGTATTTCAACTGTTGGTACAGTTCAAATACAATATACTGGTGACAGAGACGGTCCAGATGAATTGAAAGCAAAGAAGTTTACAAAACCAATAGCACTTTTCACGGAAGATGCTCTTTTGAAAATTCGTTCGATGAAACCTGCTGGGGCTCCTCAGATTGGCATAACGACAGCTTCCATCGAGCAGATTTTGGCAGCAGGTCAGTAAGTTGTTCTTGAACTGACTTCTCTCCGTCAAATATTGACAGTACGCCAGTTTTGACATAATATTGTATTATAAACTTTCCTTTAGAAATATCTGTAAGTTTTGAAGTTATATTTTTGTCTGCTTCAAGAACTTTCACCATTTCAGTTATACCAACTTTCTTTGCTTTATGAAAATATTTAGGTTCAGCAAAGACTGCTATTCTATAACATTTTCCATTGTTTGTGTAAAGAACTATTCTGTCAATGTATTTGTATTGTTTGTGTGTGTAAACTTTGTTTTGCTTCAATTCGAAGAGATATCTGAATACGTCCATCTTTTTATTCTAAGTAAAATGTCATTTCCGAAAAATAGAAGTGTAAGTGTTTCAAAAGGTTTAATGGCGGTGGCAGATGTGAAGTTAAATTCACCAACTCAAACAAACAGTCAAAGTGTTGTTGTCAATGTCAAAGACAGAGATGTTGAAGTGGGGAAACCATACGAAGACGAAGATGGTATAACAATAGTTCCTGTAAAAGAACAACCAACATATCCTGAAGTTAGCAGAGACTTAAGTTCTGTTGCAGATATTCGAAACGACTACCAACAACTGAAAGACAAACTTAAAACTCAGGAGAAGATTTGTCAAGCTTTAAGTATAATGTTAAACTTGGTCGAACACAACCCTGTAAAAGTGAACTCATATGTCATTGCACCTCATGAAGTTTTGAAAGAACTATTGAAACTTTTGACAGAGGCAGACGATATAAACATCAAAGAAATAGAACCCGACATTAGTTGCTGTGGTGTTTCATATAATGTCATTGACAAGATATACGTTATGAAAGGAGGTGAAACGTTGAACTTAAAATATAGTTTCCCAGACGTTATAAAAATATTTGACGACCACAACATTTCATTAAAATTTATTTGCTAAGTAAATGGCAGAAGACATAATGGTTTATACTATTACGACTAAAAACCCTGAGTCATATAATTCTATAACAACAAACTTACAAAGTCCTCAAGGACGATATTGTAAACTAACCTTAAACACAATGACGACTAAAGCCTGTTTTGCTCTTTTGACACCAGAAGACTTTATTGTTGTGAATGGTAAAAAATACTCCTTTGAAGATACTTACTCAGATATACCACCAACAGGTTTTGTTGACTTATTTAATACTTTAAGGACGGGTGTAACATGTGCTGCAACTAGAGCAGGTTTCATTATGTTTGGATGTCCGACTGAGTTTACTATAAACGATATGAGTTATAATACAAAACTTATATCTGGTTTTTACTACCAACAGTTTCCTATAACAGGAAAAGGTGTCATACAAGGAATGTCTGTTCCATTGACTTTAAGCACACCAATCTTATATATTGTTTCAAACTTAGGTTCAAAGTGTTATTCGAATGTCGACAGAAACTATTATGACCAAAAGATACTTATGCGTATAAACAATACTTTCTCTGCTGGTTTGCCTATTGTTCATTCGAATGCAGAGTTTTCAGCTTTAGTAAACTCAAACACTTTAGCAAACATAAACTTAACCTTAGTTGACGCAAACTTTGTTCCTGTAAAACTTTTATGTCCTATGTATTTGTCAATGACGGCAGAAAGTTTCGAATTGGAAGATGCAACTGGTGAAAGTATTGTATTACAAGAACAACTTCAACAACAAATAGCTCAAGAACAACAAATGCAACAAATGGAACAAATGGAACAACAAGCTCAAGAATAAAAAAATATTTTTTTTTATTTTTATAAAAAAATGTACAGAATAGATGTTTCAGATTTTTATGACTTCCAAGCATTCAGAAATATGTGTCCATTTCGAGACTATAACAAAGCAGTCGAGAATTTGAAACGTTTAGTCATTTATGTTGACTCTGCCCCAGAATGTTATGTCATGAAAGAATGGGATGTTGTCTTTAACAAACCAAGAGCAACAATAGTGTCTGAACAAGAATGTAGACAGAAACTTAAGAAAATAAAAGTTGTACAAGTTGGAAGGAAGATGTTAGATGCTTGGGATATCTTATTGTCAAAGTTAGAAGATTTTTCAGTTCGAGGTATAAAGTTCTATACACCATCTCCAAACTTCTATTCTATCTTCACTGGATATAAATACGAACAAGTAGAATGGACTTTCAAAGTTAACGCTCCAGAGGATCATAATAAGACAAAGTTACTTGTTGTTGTTGAGTTCGCCGCCAATCATAAATCCAACTTAGGTACCGGTAATGTTACATATTCTTCCACAGTCCCACACCAGTTATCGAGAGTGTTCAATACAACGATGGCAACGAAGTAATTTCAGGCAATATACACAGCCAAAATCATACTCGAAACAGGCTTAAATATTACAAAGACATATTATCTCTTTGCAACAGAAAGCGAAGCTTCCAACGCCTCTGTCACTAGCGTCGCAATATCACAAAATGTTCTCAATGCAACAGCCGTAGCAAGCGGGAACAAGAAAGAATGGACTTTCAAAGTTAACGCTCCAGAGGATCATAATAAGACAAAGTTACTTGTTGTTGTTGAGTTCGCCGCCAATCATAAATCCAACTTAGGTACCGGCAATGTTACATATTCTGACACACTCTCCACACCAGTTATCGATAGAGTTCTTTACAACGATGGCAACGAAGTAATTTCAGGCAATCCATACACAGCCAAAATCATACTCGAAAAAGGCTTAAATATTACAAAGACATATTATCTCTTTGCAACAGAAAGCGAAGCTTCCAGCGCCTCTGTCACTAGCGTCAAAACATCACAAAATGTTAGCACTGCAACAGCCGTAGCAAGCACGAACAAGACAGAATGGACTTTCAAAGTTAACGCTCCAGAGGATCATAATAAGACAAAGTTACTTGTTGTTGTTGAGTTCGCCGCCAATCATACATCCGAGTTAGGTACCGGCAATGTTACATATTCTGACACACTCTCCACACCAGTTATCGATAGAGTTCTTTACAACGATGGCAACGAAGTAATTTCAGGCAATCCATACACAGCCAAAATCATACTCGAAACAGGCTTAAATATTACAAAGACATATTATCTCTTTGCAACAGAAAGCGAAGCTTCCAGCGCCTCTGTCACTAGCGTCAAAACATCACAAAATGTTAGCACTGCAACAGCCGTAGCAAGCACGAACAAGACAGAATGGACTTTCAAAGTTAACGCTCCAGAGGATCATAATAAGACAAAGTTACTTGTTGTTGTTGAGTTCGCCGCCAATCATACATCCGAGTTAGGTACCGGCAATGTTACATATTCTCTTGGAAAGTCTCCATATTTATCTGCGCCAACTGTTGTTGCTGAAAATCATACAGGACCATTCAAGGCCGGTGAATATATTCCAGTTAAAGTTACATTACAACACTTTGAGGCAAAGACAGGAAACTTCCAATATAGATTCTATGCAGATCAGAAATGGATAGATCTCCCAGACGACAATGTAACTGAAGTAGAAACCCCATCTGCAATTAAGAAATTACATGCCGACGAAGGCAAAACATATCTACTCAACATTCCAGCTCCAAAGTATGAAGATATCAAAGAAGATGGGAAAGTTAAACTTCAAATTAGGTTAGCTGGATCCAAAGATCAAGCTCAATCCAATATCATTGAAACAGAGGTTTCACTTCAGAAACAACAATACGTTGCACCAAGCCCTGATGATTCCAAGCCAACTCCAACACCTGAAAATAGTGGACTTACTGGTGGACAGAAGGCTGGTATTGTTATTGGCGTTCTTCTTGCTGTTATCCTTATTATTCTCATCATCTACTTCGTTTTCTGCAGGAAACCATCTAAAGATAAATCATCATCTGATATCCAAGATGATTCCGGCTCCGGTGTTAATGTGTAATTTAATTTAATTAAGGATGTCAATTTGGAAGAAAAGTGAGAAAATTCCTAAAATGCTAAAAATGAATTTTCCAAACGTACTTTTTTATCTCATTTTTTTGATTTTGAAAAAAATTTGGAGAGAAGAACTCTTCGTTTTTGAATTTTGTCACGATGGTTTTAAAGTATAGGGTGTCCAAAGGTGTGTTTAGCACAAACCTGAATACTGCGAATAGAAATAAACAAGTTACATATATATAAAGTTTATTTAAATATAATCACCATTGGATTCAATCACGCGTTCGCAGCGATCGATCCAGGCTTGAAAGACACGCTTTAAATCATCATGAGAAAATTGCTCAAATTGCTCTCTTACAAAATTTTCAAGATCATCTGGACTCGCGAATTCGCGTCCTTCAGCTCTCTTTTTTAGCGTGCCGAATAAATAAAAGTCAGAGGGTGCAATATCAGGTGAATAAATTGGGTTTGGAACAACTTTGACATTGTTTTCCACCAAGTAATTCATTACCTTATGACTTTTGTGAACTCTTGAATTATCAAAATGAATTGCAAACTTTTGTTTTTGTTGTTTGGATTTCTCAAACTCATCAGAATTGATAATTTGAGTAAGAACATTGTCAATTAGATACTGAGCATTCATCGTATTAGGTTTTTGAAGAATATCAATTGCGATGATGTCATTTACGCCCCAAAAAACCGACAACATCATCATTGGTGTGTCAATTTTTTTCTTCGGGAATGTTTGCGGATTTTTCTCGTAAACGAAAAAGGGGATTTGACGGAGTCAAATCCCCGCTCGCAAAAAGTGGACTTTACATGTCAAATTTTATATGCATGTAATGTCCACTTTTATGAGTTTTAGGAAGGAATTGGAAGCCATGAGTTACTGACATTTCATCAGTATCTCATAGCCTCCAATTCCTTCTTAAAATGGGAGAAACTTTGTCCGAATAGTTTAACATTCGGACAAAGTTTCTCCCATTTTAAGAAGGAATTGGAGGGTAAGAGATATACCATATGAATGTATATCTCTTACCCTCCAATTCCTTCTAGAAAGTGTCCAAACTTTGGGTTAATTGCAAACTATTAACCCAAAGTTTGGACACTTTCAAGTGGAGATGGAAGGCTTTGGGGTATATATTAATACAATATACCTCAAAGCCTTCCATCTCCACTACAAATGGGAGAAACTTTGTCCGAATAGTTTAACATTCGGACAAAGTTTCTCCCATCTTTCAATGTAATTGCTACCTGTGAGGTACTGACTTGAAGTCAGTGCTTCACAGGTAGCAATATCCAAAAATTTAAAAACATTTTTCAGTTCGTTAAAGAACTAGAGCCTCCTAGGTACTGAACCAGAATCAGTGCCTAGGGGACTCTAGTGATCTATATAAATCTGAGAAACTTTGAGGAAATTGTTCGACATTTCCTCAAAGTTTCTCAGCAATTTAGCGAGGAATGTTCGTTATCGTGTAGATATTTATAATATATACATGATAACAAACATTCCCCCGCTAAAAGATGTAAAATCTTATAAGAAATGATTGCAAAAGAATAACAAATTGCAACAAATTTTATATGAAACTGAACCTTATGAGGTAGTGATTCAAGATCACCGCCTCATAAGATTCAGTTTCAATCTCAAGTATCTCAAAAGTAAGGCTCTATTTTTTTGCCATGTAAAGTGTCACTTTACTGTCAAACCGTTTTTATCGTTTTCGTTTACAACATTTTCATCCTTCGGGATCCATATGATTTTGGCTTCTGTTGCATATTGAAACCAAGACTCGTCCCCTGTTACTAAAAAGCGAAAAACTTCTTGGATTGATACGCACCCAATATAGAGAGGAGCTCTTTCGAAGATTGGACTCTAGATTTTTTTTGAACTGAATTAAGGTTGTGCGGAACCCAACGTGTATACGCTAGTTTGTAGTTCAAATAATTGTGCAGATAATAACTGACTGTTGTACGTGGTATCTTTGTCATCTCCTCTATCCTTCTAAGTGATGCTCTTGGGTCTTCATCTAGCGCTTGAAGAATTGCTTTGATTTTCTTTGATCCGGCGATTTTTTGTCAATTTTTATTGATGGGCGCCTTTTTGTTCATGAAGTGGATACATCCTAACATGATACGTTACAGTGGAATAGCTAGGAGCATCCATACCGAAGCATTTTACCAATGTCTCGTAGATTTTTTTACAGTCTTTGCATTTTTTGCAAGAGCGAGGATGTTTTCTTTATGATTCATTAAAAAAATGAAAAAAATCCCGCCAAAATTTCCCGCGAAACCGCCTCTTGTCTCAAAATTCATTTTATATCCCGGCATGGCGCCAAAATACAACATACTCATCATATACATATATTCATATTTTTTATTATATATTTATAATCAGCATATATCTCCTTTAATAGTCTCATATAGAGCGCTGTGCTAAACGCACCTTTGGACACCCTATATATTATACACATGTATTGATATTACTATTTTTGTATATTTTAAGAGAAAATTATATTCTCCTAAAGTGAAAACAATTTCCAAATTGCAGCTCCTTCAAAGATTTCTGAAGACTCAACGGTTAAAATTACAGTTTCTATCACAGATCCAGCTGGTCAAACTGCTACCTCTTTATATTAATATAATATTTATTTTGATATATTTTTTAGTTTAACTTTTTTTCTTTGATAAATATTTTATTTTATATTTTAAACCCTTTATTTTTTAATTAAATCATGTCTTGTAAATCAAATTACAACATGGCAAACTTTTGATTCGATATATATAGTTTACGTAACAAGTGATAGCTCCATTAGAAAGCTGAGTTTTGAAAATTACAATACATAGCATATCATTTCCAGACTTTCCCACTTATTTTTTTTTTATTTTTTTTAAAATGTTTCGTAATTTCAG